TTGACATGGACTGTCTCAGGTGTTTTGCAAAATGCAATATGTCCTCATTGACTCTGGTCACCCTGCTGTGCACTAGAGTCAAAGCCTCTTCCTCCTGTCTGGACTTTGGTCCTTTGCCCGACACCCCCAATTCCCTCCCTCTGCCACTCTCCGGCCCCGGGTCACCATCCATCTACTGCTACTTCAATGGGGTCGACTGGTTTAGATCAACACTTCCGGGGCATCAAGCTGAATTGGTCTCTCTGAGGTGGTGGAGATGCTGAGTAGTGGGATTTCCTCATTCCACGGTGCACACATCTATGTACTCCTCACACTGCACCCCATGAATGTACAAGCTTGATTTGCCAATTAAAACAATGTTAATAAAGACAGGATAAATATAGTAAAATGCGAGAAGTGCGGCTTCACTGCCTCGCCTACGTGCTTTTTGTCTTCAGCCATGCAGCTATTTGGGGCCATCTTACTCTTCCTTTTCTTTGGTGGACAGAGACAGACATTTTAATAGAATGGAAAGGCATCTCCTGGCAGCCCTTGGGCAGCCCCAGCTTCTTACTGCCGAGGCTGACGTCACAGCCTCGGGCTTCCCAGCTTGGACAACGCCGGCTTCCTAGGAGGGTTTTAGGTGTGTCAGGGATTTTTCTGTGTATTCACCACCTGGTGCTCTGAGTGGAAGGGGAGACCACAAGGTCACCCCGCGGGCTTCACTAAAACTTCCTGGCTTCCCAATCTGGCTTCCTCTGTAGGCTGGCAGGTGAACTGGCAGGAATGGTGGTCGTCTGCCCTGACTCCTGGCCCTCCTCCGGTGGCTGAACATTAAAAGTCTGACAAGCCGGCTCCCTGTGAGCCCACTTCGGTGGGAGAGAGAAGGTGGAAATGTCAGTGGATGGGGAAGGACAGGTGGGAACCCCAGGAGAAAGGGGTTCTCTGATGGTGGAGCACTTCCTCTCTCGTTGTTTTGTGTGCTGTAAGATGAGGTAGGTGGCCATGGGATTGTTGAATTTTCTTTCTGCGATGGCCACACAGGTGTTCTCGGCCTGGAATCCCATGGGCACCATGAGCTGGATTGTTCGGGGTTTGGGTGTCCTAGGAGTGGCTCTTTGTATGGTATCAGTGGCATCTTCTGGCTGCTTTTCACCCAGGGATTTTTCATCAGTCACAGTGAGGGAGTCTTGCTCTGTCACCCAAGCTGGAGTGCAGTGGTGTGATCTCGGCTCACTGCAGCCCTCACCTTGCAGGTTCAAGTGATTCTCATGTCTCGGCCTCCTAAGAAGCTGGGACTAGAGGCGTGCACCATGATGCCCAGCTAATGTGTGTGTTTTTGGTAGGGATGGGGTTTCATCATGTCCAGGCTGGTCTCAAACTCCTGACCTCAGGTGATCCACCCATCTCAGCCTTTCCAAAGTGCTGGGATTATAGGCATGAGCCGCTGTGCCTAACCAAAGAATTTTTTTTCATAGTCTTTATAGATTTTAGAGGAGTTTTAGGTTTGCAGAAAAACTGAGTAGAAAGTACAGACCTCCACCTTCTTTCTCAGACCATGTGGTTGCAGTGAGTTCGCTGCTGTGGCCCCTGCATCCAGAGTGGGACACACAACAGATCAGGATGATCACGGCTGTCAATCTGCCTGGCTGTGGGATCCACTCATGATGAGATGCAACCCTTAGGTCTTGTTTATAATTTGGTATGTTATTACCACAAAGAGTCTGTTCTGTGAGTCTTGTGATCTCTGTTTAAATGTTAATGCTAGTAAGTTCTGCCTAAATTCCAAAGTGTGTGGGAGGGGAGGGTGTAGTGAGGTGTGTCTGACTTCTGCCTCCTATGGCCTGCACCACTTTTCTGGGTATATTTGAGCTCTCATTTAGCCAAGAGGGGAATTGATATATCCTGTTGGAGGGCTTAGGATTTTTTGTTCTCTTTCCCTTTTTCTGTCAAGGCATGCCAGAGGCAGCATGGAGGGCCCAGCTTTTCTTTCATCCTATGTTAATGCCGGGGTGGCGTGCTACCAGCCCCAGGTCTACCATGTCTCCTGTGGGAGCCTTCTGGCCAATGGACTTAGAGTCAAAGGACTTACAGCCAATTAAACATTCTAGGCCAGAGGAGAACGGAGGTGGTAAGCACTCATGAACCTCATTCGGCTGCTGAGGGCTGCGGCCCATCAACCCGGAAGCTGAGCCATCTCTGAGCTGCAATCAGCACTCACCGTGTGAGTGATCGGCACAATTACACAGCAGTGGTGATGGGGCCGTCTGATTGCTACGTGAATGCGCTGGCTCCTGGGGGTATTAAACCATCAGCTATTAATGCAGGCAGCTCTGAGCAGGGCATCTGGATGGGCTATCTGCAGGGCAAGGGCAAGGTCAGATCCAGAGCAGCCACAGCTCAAGAACACACACAGGCTCTGAGCAGAAATAAAAAATAACCGGCCAGGCTAAAACCCGATACGGTGACTATAGATAGTGCAGCGCCTTGACGAAAACAGTGGCGGCCTGGGAGGGAGCCCACCTGACCAGGTGGGCAGGGGAGGGCTGGGGAGGGATGGAGGAATTAAGCCTGAGAAACAAGGAGCCAGCCGAGTTGACATCGGGAAGAGGATTCCCTGTGTCTGGAGGAACAGAAGAAGCTGGGTGAGCTCTGTGCGGGCTGGGGAGAGGGTGGGAGTGATGTGGGGCCCTTGTCTCCCCAGGGTGCTGCTGTCCTTAAAATCCACTCCCGGGGTGAGGCTCCCCCAGGTGTGAATACTGACTCTCCCTCCACCCAATGCCAGTTTGCAACCCCAGAGAGGTGGTCTCTGTGGGCCCCACTTGAGCTCCCCAAGAGCCCCTCTGAGTCCATCCCTCTGCCAAGCTGCTGTGCCCCCTCTGGAAGTGCCACCACCAATACCATCACCTGAAGTGGAAAACTCTAGCTTACTCTTCAGCCTGTCACTATGACACCACCATTACTTTTGGCCCCACCTCCCACCCCCTGTGACCTTTACTAATAGGTTCTGGCCAGCTAAGGAGCATTGTCTGATTTGAGGATGTTATGGAAACCAGCTGGGGCAGCTTGGAGCTACTGAGAAGTGGTGGGCCCATGGGGTGTTTGAATTATACTCCAAATCTGATTCCCAGTCCAGCGCTCCCACCCCCAGTGGCTCCCATTCATCTGTCCACTTGCCAAGGAAGGGCCCAGGGCAGCGTGCGGGGCTCAGGGAGGGAGAGCAAGGCTCAGGTACATACTGGGATTCGTAACTCATCATTTACGCTGAATGTTAGGAGTTAAATTCAATGAAAGAGCATTAGAAAACATATCCTAGTTTTCAAAGCAACATATATCCAAATGTTAAAATCTGTATACATGGGCATACAAAACAACCATACCTTATTAAGAATTTTAGAAAGAAAGATATATGGAGGGCCAATGAAACCAGTTATTTAATTTATGCTCCCATGTCATAAATTCACTGTGGGGTGTGAACTTTCTCAATGCCCTGCCGTGCATCAACCACTTTCAGAGTCAACCATGGGCAGCTGTATGGACCTCACCTAGCAGTAGAGGAAAGCGAAATCCAACACACAGCTTTTAGGAAGGTCTAGAAAGTGCCTGATCTGGCCGGGCACAGTAGTGGCTCAGACCTGTAGTCCCAGCACTTTGGGAGGTCGAGGCTGGTGGATTGCTTGAGCTCAGGAGGTTTAGACTATCCTGGCAACATGGCAAAACCCCGTCATGTTGCCACCATAGCCAGCTAAAATATAGAAACTAGCTGGCTGTGGTGGCGCACACTCGTAATCCCAGCTACTCAGGAGGCTGAGGTGGGAGGATGGCTTCGGCCTGGGAGGCAGAGGTTGCAGTGAGCTGAGATGGCAGCGATGCACTCCAGCCTGGGTTACAGAGTGACACCCTGGAAAGAAAAGAAAAGAAAGAAAAGGGAAGGGAAGGGAAGGGAAGGGAAGGGAGAGAGAGGGGAGGGAAGGAGAGGGGAGGGGAGCGGAGGGGAGGATGTGTCTGGTGATGGTTCCCAACTCTGTGAATATTCTAAAACGTACAAAAAAACCCTGAACTGTACACTTTAGGTGTGTGAATTACATGGCATGTGAATGACCTCGACACAGATTGATGAAAAACAACAGAAATCAGCTAGAGGTGCATGGGGGCTGCCCGTAGACTCGGCCAGTATGCTCGTTTGCCTCAGTCTCCACCTCCCCATTACTCCCTGACACTGCACCTTGGGGCCAGGTCCGTTTAGCACAGCACTTCCAGCTGTGTTCCTCCCACCCTGCTGCTTCCCCTCACAGACTTTACACCTATCCTGCCCTAGAGGAAGTTAATTTAGTGACAGTCTATGTGAAGACAGTCAGTAGGTGCAAAAAGCCAAAGAAAGGTGCCCTGGGTGAGTTTCTGAAAGGAGACTCTGGGACATGGTCACTGCAAAGGTGACCTCTGACTTTGGCCTGTCCTGAAGCCAGGAAGTTGTTTCCTGCTGCTGCGAGCCTTAGAGGGCTACCTCCACGAACCAGGCAAAGCCAAGAGCAAACCCGAGTATCAGGTTGGCAGGAGACCCAGGGTCAGGGTACCTCTAACCCATCCACAGCACTGCACCATCTGAGTCCCCACCACACACCAAGCACCAAATCAACCCAGGCGTCCCTGGGTCTGGGGAAAGTCTCTGAAGCTGGCCTGACTGCAACACTCCTCAATCACGGGGAAGCACCCCTTCTAACAGAGGAAAGCAGGTCTTGGGCCCAGAGCCGCTCAAAGGCCGCAGCACAGCAGTGGTTTAATGACATGCTGGGGGCGGGGGGGGGGGTGTCACTGCCACTGTTGTATCAAACCAACGAGCTTTGGGCTGCCTTGGGTTGATGACTTCGAGAGGGTTTGTTACACTTTCCATAGTAAGAGCTCCCCTCTAAAGTGAGTTCTGTATTTGTGACCGCATCATGACCCCTCGTGCAGATAGGCAGACGTGTCTGATAGTGTGTTTGTTTTTACTCTTTTCATTCTATTCTTCCCCATATTTTTGAAAGAACGAGAACATTTTGACCATCCAAACACTCTGATTAGAAAAGAAGGGCAAAAGTACAAATGACGACATAAAACAATCAGCCAGCCTCCCTGTCAACATGGGGAAATAGTGGGACTAGAATAAGATGATGGAAAGCAGAACACGGAACTCTTCCATGCCTGGAGCACAGATAAGTCGACACTTGCAAGAAAAGGGAGAGGGTCAAGAAATCAACCTGGGGAAACAGAGAAAGGTGCAACCTCTTTAAAAGCCATTTTCTCTATTGTTGTTGGAGTGCTGCTTACGTAATAGCATTTTAATTTTAATTTTAATGAAAAGACTGACAGAAAGGAAACCACGAGGTAACAGTGTGGGTACTTTGTGGCCATAGAATGAAATCATAAAGGTAGCCTGAGTGCGGAGGGTCACACCGGTAATGCCAGCACTTTGAGAGGCCAGAGCTGGTGGATCTTTTGAGCCCAGGAGTTCGAGACCAGCCTGGACAACATGGTGAGACCCCATCTCTACAAAAAATACAAAAATTAGCCGGGTGTGGTGGCGTGCGCAGCCCGGTGATGGTGGTCACAGCTACTCCGGAGGCTGAGTTGGGAGGATCACTTAAGCCCAGGAGGTCAAGGCTGCAGTGAGCTACGATCCTGCCACTGCACTCCAGCCCAGGCAACAGTGAGACCCTGTCTCAAAAATAAAACAAAATCACCATGGTAGCACGAAAATGACTCAAGTTGCAGAATAAATCAGAGACTAACAGCTTTGCTAGACATAGCTGATGAGATGAAGTGACAGCTTTTAAAACACCGATCTATGACCATCACAATGGCCCAGATGAAGAATGAAAATCACCCTGGGGACCAATGACCCAAACTGACCATGGTGATGGCCCTGGTTTCCTGGTAGGTCATCTTGATGTCCGCAGCACTGGTACTGAGGAAGAAGTCACCTGAATCTTTCCTGAGGCAGAGCTCCAACTGCAGGAGGCAGATTCAGGGAGAGTTGGGCTGTGTGTTGGAGGGCGAGGGGGTTCCCCGGTGGGTCTTACCCAGGCAGCCGGCAGGGCAAGGGCTGTATCTGGAAACCAAGACAGTCGTAAATGGTCACCTCTTCCAGGCTCACCCTCACGTCCTTGACCAGGACAAGCTCTGTGGAGGCCAATGAAGGCCCTGGAGGGTCATGCTGAAGGGCAAAGCCAAGGCCATGAGATGCAGGAGGCCACAGGACAGCCACGGGCCAATACCAGGTCATCCTGCAGGCAGCCCTTTAAGAAGAGCAGGCCCAGAAGCCCCAGGAAGGCCGCTGTTGGCCTGGCCTTGCTCCCAGCCACAAGCCCTGATAAGAGCCCCTGGTGCTCTTGAGCCCAGTGGAATGGCCAAGGCCTAGGCCTTCCATCAGCCCCCCCAAGGTGGAGTGAGTTGCTGGCTCCTCCACTCCAGACCCAGGAGTGGGTTGGCAGAAGTCCCGCTTAGATGCCTCCCCACCCTACTAGGCCCCAGTGGTGGGCGACTCTCACACACACCCTGCTCTTCAAGACCTCACAGCGAAGGGCCAGCTTCAGAGCACGTGGCAGACACCACTCTGGGCAGGGACAGGAAGGCCGCTGTTGGCCAGGCTAGGCAGTGGGGGTGAGTCCCCTGGAAGAGTGGCCAAGCCTGGCTCACAAGAGAACAAGGACAGCCTTCATCGCCTAGGCCACACATGACCCACAGAGCTCTGCTTCCTGCCTCGTGTCACACAAGGGAGCACCCAGATCTGAGGCCCCCAGGGAGTCGCATGTTTGAGCACCTCCTCAGGGCCACAGTTGTGCCAGGTACGCAGGATGCAGCAGCTGCCCACAGGGAGAGGCGACTCCAATGCACGGATGGAAGAGCAGGAGTAGGCCAAGTGCGGTGGCTCCCACCTGGAATCCCAGCACTTTGGGAAGCCAAGGTTGGAGGATCACTTAAGCCCAGGGGTTCAAGACTAGCCTGGCCACCATGGCAAAACCCATCTCCACTAAAAATACAAAAAATGAGCTGGGTGTAGTGGTGCACACCTGTAATCCCAGATACTCAGGAAGCTGATGCAGGAGAATCACTTGAACCAAGGTGGCAGAGGTTGCAGTAAGCTGAGATCACACCATTGACTCCAGCCTGGGTGACAGAGTGAGACTCTGTCTCAAAAAAAAAAAAAAAGGATAAAAAAGTGCAGAATCCTGGGGGGAACATGTCAGGGTGTTAAGGCTCCAGGCAGAAGGCCATGACGCCCCCCATTCCCAACCAAGGGATTCCTGGTACCAGTGAGGGCTGAGCCAACAGGGACAGGCACAGGTGTGCCCCTTCAGGGGACATCTCCCTCCAGACCAGCCTCCCCAGTGCTGCCCTCATGGGCCTCAGTCTCTTCCAAAGCTTGCTCCCCGGGAGGCAACAGAAGCGCCTCATCCTGTCATCTAGGAACCCTGGGAATCCAGCCCCACTTTCTCCTTCCAGCCTGTGCCTGCTGCCTCCATCTAAATGTAGAAAGACCTACATTTCCTGGTGGCCATGCCCTCTGTGGGGAGGCTATAATCCATGCAGAGCTATTCCTGGGGAGCCCTTCCCTTCCCCACCTCCAGTGCACCTACGGGGCCCCTACTATTAATAGCAGCACCTCTGCCTGGGGCCCCCGAGAGGCTGGCGTGGGAGAGAGGTAGTCCAGCAGGCAGAAATCCATGTCCCCAGATGGTGGCAAGTGTGTGCGAGGTGTGAGAATGTGCGTGCGCATGTGTGTGTGGTGGGGGGGGCGGGGATAAAGGTTTCTGCACTGTGGCAGAAGAAAAGCAGAAGCAGTTCTGGGATCCAGGGCAGAAGAGGCTCCTCTGTGTCTGAGGCTCAGGGATGCTCCCCAGAGTGCCAGATATCTCAGCTGGGACTGAAGAGACTGGAGGGCACCCAGTGCAGGAGAGTAAGTGGGGGACTCCAGGAAGTGGGGACTGTGTGTAGGAAACATGATGGCCTGACCCACATGGGCACACAGGGTGGTCTGTAAGGCAGGGCCGTGGGGAGAACAGGCTGCCCAGGTGAGCCCTGGTGGACAAGGAGGAGGGCTTCTCCTTGAAGGTCTCAGGGCAAGCAGGTGCGTGGTGGAGGCCAGAGGTGGCTTTCCCTTGGATCCCTCTGGGAGCCTGAAAGGAGGGGCGTGGGTGGGGGAGGATGGAGGCACCGAGGCTGGCGAGGAGGCGAAGTTCAGTTGAGCCCACTCCCAGGTCAGGAGCAGAGTCAGGGTCTGAGGGTTCTGGCCCAGCGAGGGGCTCAGAACTATTCCACAGCCCCGGCCCTGGAATACAGGCTCGGCCTCTGTCCTGGGACTTGCATGCTCCCAACCTGGCCCCAGTCACTCGTTGAGACCAGCGCATCCCTCCCAGCAAGCTGCTCTCAGTCATCCTGGGTTTTTGCAGAGGCTACCCTCCTGCCCTTGTCCCTACTCACTTAGGCGACCCCTCCTCACACCGCAGGGCTCAGCACACCGGCCTCCAGAAAACCCCGCTTCCTCCCTCACCAGCGCCGACCTGCGGCACAGGCCACTCTTCTCTGGCCCCCACTTCACCTGGTGCTCCTCATGCTGAAGGAGCTCCATGGCTGGGGGCCTTCCTGATGAGGCTATGGGCTCGTGGAGGGTAGGGGATGTCTGTTTCCTCTGTGTCCATTACATGATCTCAACCACATGAGGAAGGAAAAACCCTACAAGGAAAGGAAAATATTCTCTCCTTCTCAATGGCTGAAACCAGCCATTCAGAGATGAAAGAAAAGGAATTGAATATTTTGCATGTAGACATTAGGAGATCTTCAAAATCCAAAAGCTATTTCAGATTTTGAAATTATAAATGATTGAAAACCACCATGACGCATGTAAACCTATGTAACAAACCTGCACAATCTACACACGTACCCCAGAACTCAAGTATAATAAAAAATATATAGAAAAAAGAAACTACAAATGAAAATGCTGTTGAAGTGTTGTACCAGTTTAAATAGCTCAGAAACTAAATATCAACCTCTATATCCCATCTAGACAAAAGCACTTTTCTTTTTAAGAGGAAGATGTTTTGGGGACCAAAAGTGAGAAAACCTCTGTGAATGATCCCCAGCCATGACTGGCCCCTGCTTTGCTCTGAGCTCATGAAAAGGCTTTGTGATGTAATAACAGACAGGCCTATAGAAGGCCCTGGCTGAGTCATATCCCTGGAAGCTTCTTTGGTGACCTGTGGACTCAGACCAGTTTAGCAATTGCGAGTTGTGTGGGGTGTGTGTGTGTGTGTGTGTGTGTGTGCGCGCGCGCACGCACGTGCATCTGTATCTGTGTGTGTGTGTGTGTGTGGAGGGGGGTGGGTGTGGGGGTGTTTGGGGTGGGGAGAGTTTCTGTGTGAGGGGCGTTGGTGTGTTTTTCTAGCTAGCATTGTCAGCCTAGTTAGTGTAGTCGGCATCGTTGCTGAGTATTTTAGCTTACTTTGGTATGGCCAGCACTGTTGCTTCATATGTTAGCATAGTCAGTATAGTCAGTTTGCCGCTCAGTATTTCAGCGCAGTCAGAGTTGCGTTGTTGGCGTAGTCAGAGCAGTTGTGTAGTTAGTGTAGAGCGGTGTCAGGCACCATGGGGCAGGGATCCGCCTCCACCCCATCTGGCCCGGGGCTACAGAATTATAAAATGTTGGACTTAATTGACCCTGGTGCCTTCAGTGAGGTCAAGCTGGCCCAGCACTTGCTGACTAGGACCCTGGTGGTCATGAAAATCACCCGCAAAACTGGCTCCTGTGTCACTGCTAGCTGGAGAGAGATGAGTATTTTAAAGTCTTTGTACCACCCCAATATAATTAAACTATATGAAATTATTGACCCCACAGAGGTGTGTCACTTGATAATGTAGTACACATCAGGACGAAACCTGCACCAGTGGATACGCCACAGCCTCGTGGTGGAGAAGGAGGTCCGGGCCATGTTCTAGCAGATGCTTTCGGCCATACACTATTGCCACAGAAAATGAACAGCACACAGAGACCTGAAGCGGGAAAACATCCTGTTGGATGGTGAAGGAAATGTATAATTGCAGATTTTGGCTCCGCAACAACTCACCGTGAGGGGCAGAAGCTGACAAGATGTTGTGGCACCTACCTCTACATGGCCCCAGAGGTCTTCCTGCGCCAGGGCTACGAATGCCCCGCCATGGATGTTTGGAGCCCAGGCATCGCTTTGTACCAGATGATAGCCAAGACTCTGCCCTTCTTCTCAGCGAGGCTTGTGCACCTTGAAGACAGAATTAAATCTTGAAAGTACTTTTGCCCGGCCTCCTTTTCAGAAGGCCTTAAAAGCCTAATGAAAAAACTGTTAACGCTAGACCTCAGGGAGTGGGTCAAAGAAAACTTATTCAGTTACCCCATGGCCACCTACCTTATTTTAGATAGGAAAAAGAAGCAATCCACTAACGCACTACAGTCCCTTGCTCCTGGGGATCCCAGCTGTTCTCTATCCACTCAAGTTTCCAGTTCACCTGCCGGCCTGCAGAGGAAGCAACAGTTTTAATCCAGACCCCCTGCATGACCCCGTGGCCTCATCCGTTTGGATCTCCATCCGCAGTGGTGGGGATTTAGAAACCTTGGCTCAGCAAGCCCTCCAGCATGACCCTCCAAAATCCAGATGTCAAGTACTTTACAGCTGGTAGCAGCTTTGAAACAGAAGTCAGACGGGCAGGATATACAGTTGTAACTCTAAAAGCCCAAAGCCTGCGGACAGGAACCCCAGCCCAGCGAGCAGAGCTAATAGCTTTAAAGCAGGCATGGCTATTAGCAAAAGACAAGAGTCAACATATATACTAATTCAAAGTATGCCTTTGCTATGCTCCATGTACATGGGAGTGCATACAAGAAAAAAGGACTCCTAACTGCCCAAGGAGCAAGTGTAGCATATCCAGAAAAAATCCTAACAACTTTTAGATGCAGTATGGGAACCTAAGAAAAGAGCTGTTATATATTGCCAAGGCCATCAAAAAGGTGGGATCCTAGAGGCAAGAGGAAGCAGGAAACCAAATGCAGGAGCCAGGCGCGCAGCGATCAACACCCAGCCTTCCGGCACAGCAGGTAGGAAGGCAGCTACGGCCGGGCCTCTCCTCCCAGAACCCTTGCCTAAAGAGAAGCCAAATTAGAGGACCTAGTTTGCTCAGAAAAACGGAGCTTATACAAAAAAAAGGCTGGTGGAGGTCCTCAAACAGAAAAGTAGTTTTTCCTGAAGTAATAGCCCTCAGGTTCATAGAACAGTTCTAGCGAGAAAGTCACATGGGAAAACAGCACTAGAATCACTAGCTGGGTGCCACTTCTACGTGTCACTGCTCACTGTCATCTCCCGAGCCGTCTGTAAACAAGGCTTAAACTGTGCTCAGAACAACCAACTGCAACGGCCACTTTGGCCCCTAGGAATTCAAAAAGTAGGAGTAACCCCATGTGAAAACTTGCTCGTAGATTTTACCGAAATGCCCCATGCAGGAGGCTATCGGTTTATGCTGGTGTTTGTCTGAACCTGCACAAAAGGCTGGGTAGAAGTTTTCCCCACCTGCAATGAAAAAGCCATGGAGGCAACTAAAGCATTATTAACAGGTGGCATTCCTAGGTTTGGGCTGCCTCTGACTCTCAGCTCTCACAATGAACCGGCATTTGTAGCTGAGACTTCAAAATCTCACTCAACTGTTGGAAATCCCATCCTGCCTACTGTCCTGAGTTCAGGGAAGGTAAAGCAAATAAGCCGGACACTGAAACCATTCCTAAAGAAATTCCATCAGGAAACCCACCGTAAGTGGGTAAGATCAAGTCCTGCCCATGGTCCTCCGAGTCAGACGCACCCCAACCAAACAGACCTAACATTCACCTTATGAAGTTTTGTTTGGGAAACCACCCCCCCCCCAACCCAGGTAAAAGAAAATCTTTAAAAAAATAGGAAAAATAAACATTAAGGAGATAAATGCAGGCCCTAGATAAAGCCATGAATACCTACAAGTTTAACAATTCCAATCCATTCATTTAAACCCAGAGACTCTGTCAGGGCTAAGAAGTGGAACCCAACCATATTGGGCCCTTTTATTGTAACCTCCACCCCCACTGCTGTTAAAGTTGCTAACGTTGTTCTCTGAATTCATCACAGCCAGTTAAGACCAGCAGCCCCAGACAAGTGAACCAGCCAGCCAGATCCGGACTATCCCACCAGGCTAACCTTGAGACACGTCATCAACAAGGACCAGGACCAGCTCAGTCGGTCCCAGTTGCAGATGACCCCGAGAAACGGTCGAGCGCTGCTCTAGTCACACAGCCAGAAGCTGACTAGTCAACGCATGGCCGAAGCTCGAGGAATCTCCATCGAATGAGCAAATGTAAACTAAAATCTTAAGCAGAATCTTAAACCTTGTTGTTTTAATCATATTCATGTCCTGTTACTGTATTGACATTGCTGCAAAGCTTTATTCCCAGGAGAAAGCACTCCTCGTCCAGTCTCAGTGTAAAAACGTTACCTTTCATTTTGCTCATGTTAGCCCCTATGGAAAATCTGCTAAGCAAGGAAGTCCTATGTGCACCCACACTACATAAATAGGGAATACACAAGTTAAAACTTTACTATACCAAACACATTATGAGTGTAAAGGAGCTTCCCTAGGAACTTGCATGTATAATCAAACTACCTACTCAATTTGTAACCCAGGTAATAATCAGTCTTATGTGTGCTATAACCCCAAACTTTTACCTCGGGTGTGGTTTGAGCTCTGTAAAAGAACACGAAAAGAAACCCTTCACAATCTAACTCAGGTAACCCCTTCTCATCAGGGAAGTGTGTCCTTATACTTAGATGCCTAACAGGTAGTAAAAACACTTCTTCAAAATAAAAAAAAATAGTTGTAGCCCCAACTTGTTATAACACCCCTGTTAGGAAGGTCCTCACGGTGTGCACACGACATGACTGCAAAACCTATAACCCTCAAAACAAGCAGGCGGTGCTTCCTCCAATCCCACTTTGGATTAGTGAGGCTATAAGCTGATACAACTCTAATAAATGTACACATAGGAAACTGAAGAAAACATAGACTGGACCCCAGAGAAAAAGTATTATTATGGCCCAGCCACTTGGGCACAAAAATGGGGCATGGGGATATCACACTCCCATCTATATAATAAACCGCATCATTGGCTGCAGGCAGTTCTAAAAGCTTTAGATTTGCTACCTTACAAATTTACAAGCCACACAGACGAGAAATGCCATTTGCCAGAAAAGAAACTAACATCTTTTAGCCCAAAAAGGAGGAGTACGTAAAAAGTTTAACTTATCAAACTGCTGTCTAGAAATTAGTAACAATGGACAAGCAGTCATGGAAATTACCACCAGGATGCAAAAAGTAGCTCGTGTTCCACAAACCTGGAAAGGGTGGTCACCAGGCTCCCTCTTCAGAGGATGGTTTTTGTGGTTGGGGGGTTTAAAACCCCAACAGGGGAGTAGTAATTATATTAGGAGGGTGTTTGACACTACCTTGTCTCCTACCTCTCTTCATTGGGAGTATTCCGTCAACTATACAAGCAGTAATGGCCAAGCAAACCACCAGTCAATTAATGGCGTTAGCTAAGTATCCGCCTGTGCCCCAAAGGACAGAGAACTGCCTCGGAGTGACATGTGTGGTAGTGGAGCTTCCTATGCGCTTACACAGTGTAATCACCGACTGGAACTTAATCACTGGCAACGTCTGGATGATATAAGCTTAAACTAAGCAAGTAATATGTTAATAGCCCCAAAAAGCTGCATTAATACCATCTTTTCCAAGCAGGCAGCTTAGCAGAAGAAACAACTTAAGGTAGATAATAGCACTGTTCCAGGAAAAACAACACTCTGCAGATCAGCCCCCGGGGCTGTGTTTACTCAAATTCCAACTTTCCAGCTGGTGCCCTGACTGGCCCCGGGTAGATGACTGGTTAGCTAAAGACAGGTAAGATTCGGGCCGGGCGCGGTGGCTCACGCTTGTAATCCCAGCACTTTGGGAGGCCGAGGCAGGTGGATCACGAGGTCAAGAGATCGAGACCATCCTGGTCAACATGGTGAAACCCCGTTTCTACTAAAAATACAAAAAATTAGCTGGGCATGGTGGTGTGTGCCTGTAATCCCAGCCACTCTGGAGGCTGAGGCAGGAGAATTGCCTGAACCCAGGAGGCGGAGGTTGCAGTGAGCCGAGATCGCGCCATTGCCCTCCAGCCTGGGTAACAAGAGCAAAACTCCGTCTCAAAAAAAAAAAAAAGACAGGTAAGATTCTTCAAAGGAAAAATAACCTAAGACAGGCACAGGCAGAGGCACAAAGGAGCCATCAGGCCTACAGCTTCATTTTGTGCCTCTCGTGGCAGGAGAGAAACTCTCAATCTGGTGCTAAAAATTCAACTCAGTGCTGCACACTTACCATAACTAACACACCAGCCTGCTGTCCATCAAAAATACAAAGGCACTCCCAAAAGGGTTGTCTTAAAAAGCTCCGCAACACACCTAAGCCATCGCCCTGACATCCAGCTACAAAAACCAAACAGGCATAAAAGTAATAAATAAGCTCATAGAAATACCAAGTGACCTAAACCAAAATTACCTTCCAAATACTAGTAAGTGCTGAAAGCAATGGGGTTGTTTCCTATTAAAGAGTTAGTAAAAAGCAACGAAGGGGGGAAATGAAGTCAAAGTTGTTTACGCCAGATCAACGTACTTAAGTTACAGTAAGCAAGTTACGCCCAGTAAGTAAGTTAAGTCCAGTAAGTAGGTTACACCCAGCAAGTAAGTTACGCCCTGTACCTATGGTAAGTAAGTTACAGTTACACCCAGTAAGTTACGGTAAGTAAGTTACCAAGTGTAAATACTTGTTAATATTTTACAATGAAGGTAACAAGGGTCCAAAATGAACACAATGAAGCAATAAACCACAAGAAGCCTAAAGTAGACACAATGACTCCCAAGTCCTCATATCCATAAAGTAATGTCTGTTAATTATTTAGAATAACATAGTCCCTCTCTCAGTTCCTGCTTTCCCTCAGCTCGACTCCCCCAACCGGGGATCTATGTCCAGGCTCAAGGTCACCGTATGGCGAGGCCCATTTCCTAGGGGCCTCACATGGGAGCAATCCCCACAGATACCCTCAGAAATTCAATAATAACAATGGTAGTCCACCATTGCTGCACAGTACAGCTTACTGTGCTGTGTTCCATATAAAACCTAACCCCAGCTCTGCTTAAAATTAACTCCTTAAAACCCACCTTATCTATTCTGCCCACATTCTCAGCAAAGTTCCCAGGCGTCTCAAGGCTCCTGTTTTTCTTGCTGACCAGCTGCAAGGTCACAGGGCAAAATAACACCCAAAGAATGTGCAATGTGTTTCTCAAAAGGCTATTTTTCAAATGTAGCATGCATCACAAGTCGTGTTACAAATTGACTGTTCTTTGCTGTGGCTTCTGCAAACCTGGGTTGCGTCATCCTGGATGTATACAAAGTACCCCGTTTTCTTTCTCCTTTGCTCAATCTTGGATGCTGATCTGCTGAGCCAGTGGCCACTTTAAGAAATCCTCCTGTTTCACCCATCGGTCTCTCTGGTCTCCTGAATATGCTGAAACACACCAGATGTGGGTACTCAATCTCCCTCTAAATGCCAGTTTGGAACGCCAGAGAGAAGGTCTCTGTGGGCCCCACTTGAGCTCCCCAAGAGCCCATCTGAGTCTGTCCTTCTGCTAAGCTGCTGTGTCCCCCCTGGA